GTTGTACTACTTTTTATTTTTTTTTCTTCTGTGAGAATTATCAATTAAAATTTATTTGTTTCGTGACTTTCATGTGCATATTTATATGGGGTTTTAGTTATTTCTCACTACTTTTTATTATTGAATGTCTAAATGTAGTTATATACATTTGGACAAATTTAAATATTCTAAATAAAAATAATAATCATTTAGTGATCGTAATTTCAAATCTTACTCAGAATATATTAATGAAATAATACATTCCAAAGTAACTTTTCTTTGATGAATGAAGAATTGTTGATTTACTTTTTAATATGTAGTACTAATGATTATATTCGTAAACAATTTTTAAATATAAGTTTTGTATCATAACGTTTAGACTCTTTATTATTACTTCAATGATCGGAGGAATTTTAATATTTTATTTAAGTTTAATTATAAACAAATAAAACATACTTTTACATTCTTGAATAACGAAGTATGGTTTTAAAAATAAATATTTATTTACGTAGATATGAAACATATCAATAAAAATTATGAAAACAAAAACAAAAATTTGCGAAATATTACAATTATAAAGAATATGATGCATGCTCCATTAAATGAATAAAAAGATATTCATATATTCAGTGAAAATTAAAATGACATTTCGAGATTAATATTTTATGTAAAATAAAAGAAGATTTAAAATATCTATACACTAGAAATGAATCAGTTTTAATTAATACCACAGGTAGTATAAATAATGTAAAGAAATATTTAAACCTCCATAGTTAATCACTTGTATGTGACTTCCTCGAATATAATAATATAATAATATTAATTATTTCCATAAACAGAAACGAGGTTTATTTAGTATCGTTAAAAAAATTATTCTATTGTTTCATTTTAAGTGCCTCGCCCTGTATACTAAATGTATATATATTTATGCATGTACATAATTTAAAAAGACTATTGTATTTAATTTTATCGTTTTATTCATAAAAATATATACGGTGAATATATGTATAATTTTAATATTCCGTATTATAACAAAACATTGTAATTATTTTATAACATAATATTATGATTATTATTATCATCATCATCAGCAGCATCATCATCACTCTCATTATTATCGTTATTCGAACGGATAGAATTATCTTTTGTTACAGCGTTATTGTTGTTGAGACAAAATTTAAACATGAAAATTGATCGTTACCATTTTTTCGCTGTAATTATTTATATTTCATCTATGATTAATTTTTATGATTTCATAAATGTTGTTTCACAACAAAATGCTTTTCGTGTGTCGGAAAATATGTTCCATACGGCAGTTCCAAGAGTATATTTAAAAAGATGAGAAATATATTAACAAAGATGGCTTCTGCAGCAATTAAAGACTATGAAGATAAAATTATAGAATGAAAACTATGTTATTTAAATATTCTATTGTTAGCGCTCAAAGTGAAAAGAGAATGCTTGTTATCATTTATATATATAAATATATATGAAAGGAATTTTACAATTTATGCCTTGTTGTTCGAAACTCAGTTCTTCCTCGCGAATTGAAATCACAATTCGGGCGAAGAACGAGTTTGTACGCTGATGTAATTATTAATTTTAAGTAATAACGTTCGAAAGTTATTCGTTAGTGAAAAAAAGTTAAATACCATAATCCAGAGAGCAGAATGAAAATTTTATGTAGTGCATTTTGTTGTCACAATAAAATTATTGAACAATCGAATTAATTATATAATCGAAACCAGAACGGAAGTTTATGTAGTGCGCTTTATTTATAATGAAATATAAAGGAAAAAATCAAACATAAATGGAAGTGAATTCATTTTGTTCGATTGTTGTAATGAGTGATTGATGAAGTAATCAAAGTTCTCCTTTTACTTGTAGAATAATGATATATTAACAGTTTAGTAGTGGTAAAACGATTAATTAATAATTATCACTTTTTAGTTCTATTGAAATATTTTATTATATATGATAAAGTTCATAACATTTCTTACAAATTTTCACTTATTTCGTATGTCGTTTCGTATCTGACTATTATTAGTCATTCGATATATCCTGTATAAAGAAATTTTACTAATAACATTTTAAACCTTACGTTGTCGAATGGTAACATTTGAGTAATAGAAAATATGTAAGTCTCTGAAGACTCTAAATAAAATAGCTTTATAGTGTTTATTCGTTCCTTTTTTTAAAAAAACATGTATTGTCATTCTTGTTACCTTTGCATATGCATATTTGTTCAATACCGGCAAGTCCCCGGGCGCGATTCACCAGCGTGCGGCCCTGCTTTGTTTGTCAACGCGCCTACGATTTCGCGTCTTTGTCGAAAATTAGACCGCCTGCGCACTTACGCACATTAATGTCCGTTGTCATCCCCACCCAACGCGAGTGAAGCGTTCGCACTGT